CGAACCCGGGCCGCACGCATGCTAGGCGAGCGCGCTACCGCTTGAGCCACATCCCCAGCCCCAACCCTTTTTATTTTTTGAGACAGGATCTTATTAAGTTGTTCAGGGTCTCACTAAGTTGTTGAGGTGGGCTTTGAACTTGCAATATTCTGCCTCAGCCTCCTGAATCACTGGGTTTACAGGTGTGTGCCACCATGCCCGGTTCCATTCAGCCGTTTTGCTAGGGACCCTGGCCTGCTAGCCAGGCATCTGGGGCAGAATCCTCTGACAACAATTCCAGTCCTACTTTCTCCCTTCATGATCACTTAACCATGTGAAGATGAGGGCCCTGTCCCTGTGGAACACTGAAGTATGGACTGGTCTGCTGTAGCCTTCCTTCTAGACCTGCTGACAGGGGTAGCCCTGCCAGCCTCTCCTCTTTAGGGGTCTCCAAGCCAGAGCTGAGACCATGGTTCTATGGCCTCCAAATCCAAGGAAGCCCTGTCACTCTCTCCCAGGCACTCTGCTGCAGTCCCATGAGAGCCTCTGGTAAAGAATCACATTCCCCACATTCTCACATACCTGAGAAGTTCTCTAAACATAATGTTAGCCTGAAAGGACAAACAGCATCCCCAGAAGTTCCCTGAAAATAAGCCTTCACTCACCAGTTCCCTCAAACCCCAGTTATTCATGAATGGACTGAAGGTACATAATAGGCTACATGTCCCACAACTGTTTAGGCCCCTCTATTGGTCAGCTTTTGCCTCAGTAATGCTGCATAACAAACAATCACAAAGTCAGTACAACACAATGACATTAACTTCTTGCTTGCAAGTTTGTCAGCTAGGACAGCTGTGTTCCACATCTCCCATTCTCCTCCTGGGGCCAGAGTCCTCCTGGGATCAGTGGCCTAGCCAGGGCATGTTCTTATAGTGGTAGCAGAAGGCAAGAAAGCAAGCCTAACCAGCTGCACAAGAATATTCAAGGCCCTGACTTGTCTGACATCTGCTAACATCCTATTGGCTAAGCAAGTCGTATGACTGAGCTCAAAGTCAAAGGATGAAGTACCCTCTCAGCCTTGTGTAAGACAGTACTTACATGGCAAAGGATGTGGATACAGACGGGGGTAAAAAACCAGGGTCAATAATTCAATCTGGCCAGGCATGGTGGTGCAAGCCTATAATCCCAGTGACTTGGGAGGCTGAGGTGGGAAGATGGCGAGTTCAAAGCCAGCCTAGCAAAAGCAAGGTGCTAACAACTCAGCGAGACCCTGTCTCTAAATAAAATACAAACTAGGGGTGGAGGTGTGGCTCAGTGGTCAAGTGCTCCTGAGTTCAATCCTCAGTACCCAAAAATACAAAATAAAAATAATAATTCAATCTGCTATAGTCCACTTTTTTGGCCACAGTTATTCACACCCTCCCACACAGAAAACACTATCCACAAACCCCCCAGAGTTTCATCCAATCATGGCATCAAGACCTCATGACCTTTGTCAGGTCTGGATATGGCTCCTCTTGATCAGTTGACCTATTATCTAAAAAAACAAGTCATCTACTCATAGCCCAGCCCTCCCGCAGGCACAACATACTTTGGTAAAACAGGGACAGTCTAACTACAGTTCATACTCCTGTTCACTGCTTCATGGCAAGTCAGAAGTAATTCTCAACAAATTGTCAGGCAAATACTGTGGGATAGGGTATATTCCTAGAATATCTCCTGTAATGGAAAATATGCTCTTTGGGCAGCTGAACACCTTCCATATCCTGTTTCGTACCTGAAATCTGGAGCTAAATGTTTTTTCACATCTAGAGCGATCTCAGTTCCTTTAACCTAGGCTGATCAGTGTTATCCAGGCACCTATCTCAAACACTATGTTTTCTTTCTTTCTTTTTTTAAAGTAAATTCAGTCTCATACATACACACACACACACACACACACACACACACACACACACACGTTTATTTTATTCTTTTTTTTTTTTGGCTAAGGATGGAACCCAGTGCCTCACAGGTGCTAAGCAAGTGCTCTACCACTGAGCCACAACCCCAGCCCACAGTATAGGTTTTCTATGTATCCATGTGCCAAAGCCACAGCCACAATTAGGTCTGAATCATGTCACGACCTCTTGACTTAATTATGCCTTCTTTAGGTATAGTAGACTTCTTCGAGACCATTCCCTTAAGCTTTCTGGGTGCTCTCTTGACCTGATGGTACTCCAGGTACCATCTAGTGGTACCTGGAGAGTGTTAATAAAAGATGTTATAACCACACCCTGAATTTGGTTTGGTTCCCATTATGTATCTTAACTAGTATCTTAACCTTAGTTTGATCTTTGTCCCCAGGCTGTATCTTAATTTGAGAATGATTTACTGGCTGGAGAAACTGCAGTTAACAGACTTATTTTCCAGCTCAGCAAGTTCTGGGCCTTTTCTATTTAAATACTCTGTACAGATTGGCCATTTCTTTTGTGAATTCCTCTCTTTCTTGTGCTTATCAAAAGCAGCTAAAAGGAGTCAGCTCTTGCTTTCAACATTTTGCCTGGAAGCTATCTTTCCCAAATCTATCTGTTCTCCTCAAATTACTGTAGATGACAGTTTCACCAAGAGTTTGGACCCACACATAATCCCGAGGATCTTTTTTCAAGCCTCTTATCACACTTCACTCAGTGTTTACTCACCACTTTGTCCTGGAGCTAATGCAACATATTTTCGGTTTTTATTGCTATCACACTTCACTTTGGGTACCAATTTGTATCAGTCAACTATTATCACAGTGATGCTGTGTAACAAGCACATGATTTCAACGGCACACAATAATAAGCATTTGTTCTCATTCATGAGTTTGCAGGTCAGCTGTTTTTGCTCTAAGTGTCCTACATCTTGGGACCAAAGGGTGCTCTGGAATCAGTGTCCTAGCCAGGGCTTGTTCTTCCCATAGTAATGGCAGAAATATTCAAGGCAACCTCATTGTGCAAACACATTTCAAGTTTCTCTCTGATCCAGTTGATCAAAGTAAGTTACATGAGTCCAAAACCAAAGTCCAGTAAAATATATTCCACTCTTAGTGAAAGCAACTGTGGTAACAGCAAACAGCGTGACTACAAATAGGAGCTGAGAATTGAGGCCAATAATCCAATCAATCACAGCACCCTCAGCACATCCCATATGTATGATACAGCTGTGGACACTAAATATAGAAATGTGGGGCTCTAGGTATTCTCCATTTGGAGGCTTTAGCCCAAATCAAGGTAGTTAAGAAGGTATCATTTAGCAATGTCTCACAGCTACCCAGACACATGTGCCAGTATAGACCTACTTATAGACTTATATCAAGTCTTGTGCTCCTCGACCTGTATGTGGTATGAAAACA